CTATGAAACCAGAGGCCCAGTAGCAAATTCAGCCTCCATGTACTCTGCTATTGAGAAAGAGTCACAGCAGAGAACAGGTGGGGAAAAAAGATGGAAACCTGGACTGAGCAAGAACAAAGGAAAGGGTGGGGTGTTTTTAAAATTAAGCTGTCCCCTATTTTTGATTACATCATAGTTAGAATTAGCTTTGGCCTACATAATTAAAATGGAGGATGTCAAGGTACCAGCAGGAACAATTGTTTTGTTGGGTTATTTGCACGGATCATCTATTTGCTGCACAGCTGCTGTAGGAAATGCAACACCATGAGCAGACATATATAATTGTAGAGAGGGGGGATGAATAAACGTGTTTCAAAGAACAAGGAGAATTCTAAATGTCAGCAAAGGGGTACATGACTCACTCATTGGGAAAATACTATTATTGGATATGTAAGTAGGACTGTACAAAGCACTCAGAGGAGGGATGCTACTAGAAAAAAGGAGAATTAATAAATGAAGGTAACATTTGGGTAAGTGACAGTGAATGAATGAGGAGATGTGCTATAAGTACCATGAGCCAACACAGGGCCTGAAGTGAAAGCAGACAGAGAGTGCGGGGTGAGGATGGCGAAGGATGAAAAGAGAGAGATCATGGACGACGAGGAGGAGCATTACTGGAGACTGCTGAAATACAGTGGAACGGATGAGCGCTTGTTAAAAAACTACTTGGCTTTTGGCACAATAATGGTGACAGAGAGTGTCTGTTCTACTGAGTCAGGATTAGGGAAATAAATGAGGTGGAACTCCATGGGAGGAGAGGAAATGGCTGTGATGAGGAGGCAGGAGGAGGCCCAGGACCCAACTGGACCTAGCTTCTGCAGAGGTGGGTTAGGCTGCGATGGATGAGTGGTGTGGAGAAACTCTGCCCTGTTTCTCAAAAGGAAAATGCAGTGTCTAAGTGTAACAGACAATGTTGTATAGGTTACAGACATGGTTGAAATGAGCAGTCAGGATCAAGGCATTTTGCCTGATTTCAAGGCAGGCATTGAAAATAATTAACTAATGCTCCTGGTGCAGCCGACAACATGTTGCAGACTTCTTGAGTCCAGAACATGTTGAACTTGAAACTTTTCAGTTGCCTAATCCAGGACACCACCCCAACAGACCCATCCCACACGTCTGGCTGGTCATTCTCACAGCCTGAAGCTCTGTGTGCTAGCATATCTGCCCAAGCAGAGGCCGAGGAGTCCAGCCGCTTCTGTGAATGGATCAGTCCAGTTTACATCTGGAGCCACGGGATCTCCAGTCCTGGAGGAGGAGATTCCCAGAGCCTTTAGTTTGGGTCCAGCTGGGAACAGTTCTTATTTTGGTTTTGAACCCCCAAATTTCCAGCAAGCTGCTTTTCTGGCTAGCTAGGTTTGACTGAGTCGGTAGAGAGACAGATGTAGGTGGATAATGGGGGAAGGGGGTGGTAAGCGGCAGAGCTATTGCCTTCGTGAGAGGCAAGGATGCCGTATAAGTACTGCCAGTCCCCATTCAGTGAGCAAGTGGTGAGTCAGGGGCAGGTACTGAGTCAGCAAGAAGGCGGACGGGTAGGTGGGTGGGTAGAGCACCCTGGCTAGCTCAGTGCAAACCACTCAGCTGCACCATTGCACTCAGCTCCCTGTGGGAAAGTTGCAAGCAGTGGTTCAGGCTACTGCATCAGTTTCTCCCCTTCCCATGCAATTCCCCAGGCTCCTTTTCTGAGCCAGTGGGGCTTCAGAGAGGATCCCTGACCATAGCCTCTGACAGCCCCGTATTTTCCTGAAGTGTTTATGAACCTACTTGCAAACATTGCCTCTCTGTGAGGTGTGATAATAAAAGAAGAGGAATGAAAACAGCTGATGAAGGTAGAGAGAGCCCTTCAGCCTGTCCCACCCCAAAGATATCACTCATGCAGTCAGGGAGCTGGTGAAAAGTAGGTGGGGGGAGAGAGAAAAGAAAGAAAGAAAAATAGAAATGAGGTAGAAAGGAGAACGAGAGAGAGAAAATATTTGAGAGATGAAAAGAAATTACCATACGGCAGGATCCTGTTATTCAACCTAATTTTCAAAGGACTGCAGCTGTCGCACTGAGATAATCTGTTAATTATAACAGTCATTGTGTTTTGGCAATGGAAGAAAAAAACAGGCTCTAAACAAGGCAAGGTAGTGGGGAAAAGAGAGGGGAGGCAGGGCTGTGTCAAAATGCATGTCAGATGTTAGCTTGAAATGTAGGTGGGTGAGCTGGCCGGGAGGAGGGTCCCTTCCCAGCAAGGCTGAGCTGTGCCATTGCCTTGCAGGTGGAGGATGGAAGGAAGGTAGAAATACCCATGTAGAAACATAGTACCCTGCCCAGCCTGGGACTACTCCTGTTGCTGAATCCAGGCATGCATTGACCAGAGGAATAGCTTTGAGGGGCTGAAGTGTCCCCATTAGCCTGTGCTGCCTCAGCACTTCACTCTTGGTTCACCTGAAACAGCTTCCCCACACCTTTCCTCTGCTTCTACCCTACACTAGATTGGGACTGTTGTATTTGAACCACCCACTGTAACAGCATCTGCTTCTGATTGATTTGCAGAAATCCTGATCACAGGGGCTGCCCTGTCCTTTTACATCTTGCAGATTAATGACTTCAGATAACAACACATGACTGTCAGAGACACCATGTCTGGGAAGGTCACGCAAGGGCAGTCCCTTCCTCTCACAGGAGTGGTGGCTTAACCTCCAGAATTTTCATGCTGGAGTGGCTGCTTGTCCTACTTGGAGAGAGGTCTCACTGCCAGTGAGGGAACCTCTCTCAGATGGCGCCCAGGGCAAGGTTGACTGGAAGGCGAGAGAATGTTGAAGGATGCTTGAATGCCAATGTTTGTGCTCCACACGAGTTTGCAGACCTGGAGGTATCCTACACAGGACAAATGGCTGCCAGTCACCTCGTGAAGTGATTACTACTCCAGGACCTATGTGATTCCTTAGGCTCTGAGTCCTTCCACTAAGAGACAGCAGTGAGCTATTATACAAGGATCCATGCCCTTTCCTGCCCTACCTGCAGGGTAGCATGTTTGAGGGCACTCCAAACTGGCACCGCTGGGTTGCTGAGGATGTATGCAGCATCCAGAAATACTGGAGGTGTGCTTGGTTTGAGTCAGGGCATCACTCCAATAGCTTGTGGTCCTGCTGTTCATAGCCAGATTGGTGAAAGCCAGTTGTTGCAGTAAATAGAGCAGCAAGGCTAGCACAAGACAGCAGAGGCATCACAGTGACCCTGAGGGGATGGGGGTCTTCACAGTGACATCACATATGGGCCAGGAATTTTTCCTGGTCTCATGCCAAATATGCTGCATGGGAGCATAGAACAGACAGGGCACCCACCCTGCTCCTTGCAACAGCTCCCTCCCATGCACCCAGAGCCTCCACTCCAGGCCTGTTACCTGCAGCAGCTCACACACACATTCACCCAGACCTGCCACTCCTGTCCCTTTACCCCACGACAGCTCACAGAGAGCAGGGGTCATTCCTTGTCCCCTACAGCAGCTCCTTCCCACGTGCCTGCCCTCACACCCCACTCCCTACAGTGATTCACATCAGGGGACACATACAGAAGGAGTGCTCCCACCTCTTTTCCTACAGCTCTTCTCCCATGCACACACTCGCACAACCATGGTTGTCTCCCATGATCCATGCACCCCCACACGCAGCCCGCTCTCCCACCCCGTCCCCTACGGCGCCTGTCACACAGCCAAACACTCCCACCCCTTTCTCCACAGTGACTGCTTCATACAAACACACATGCACGCACACATACACTCACAAACAGCGCTTTGCCTGGTTCTCCATGGCAATTCCTCCCTCCCCAGGAGTCGGCACTGATTCTTTGCTTCACAGAGTGATTAACCCACATATGCTCCCAGCCCACACATCCACCCCATCATCCATAGCGACTCCTCCACATGTACACCCCCTCCACCTCGCACTCCTGGAGCCGGCACTGCCACCTCTTTCTCTGCAGTGACTCACACCCCTGCACAGCCCTGCACGTGCACAGGGCAGAGCCAGCCTTGCTGTTGCCCTCCCTATGGCCGGTCCCTGCAGACGGCCACGCAGAGCCCATGCTTCTTCCCCATGGCCAACAGGAATTATTTCTAAGCCTTTCTACTGCCTCATGTCTGGGCTCATGGGATGACAACAAGGGGTGGGGTGATGTTTCCCAGGCCCACCTTTCCCCTCTGGAGGGAAAGAGATGAAGGCAACCTTATTGCTGATAATATTTTTCTTATGGCACCTGTAATATCTTGACATTCTCTTCTGCCCGGAGAATGCTGTTCCCCAAGCCTACCCCCATGTACATGCTTCTGTGGACTGCTGCTGCAGGCTGTCTGGGTGGAGCTGGCTTGATGAAAATCCCCCTTAATCTTCAATAATCATATTAATATAAAAGGTAACCATTTCACTTTGGAAAACAAAAGTGGCTTTCTGGCCTGCCAGGGAACCACTGGCATATGAAAGACCTTTCTGCCAGTATTTATCACTCTAAAATAAGATTTATGCTTCTAAAGCTCTCTCTTTTCTTTCATGCTTCTGAGCTGCTTCATTTTTCTCCCCTGAGCCTTCCCATTCTCTCTCTCTTGCTGCCTAACAAATTAGGCATCTAATCGCTGTTGGGGAGGCGCGATGGGAGAGCAGGGGTTTTATATACTGCATCGTGTTGGGTTTTTTTCATGGTTAGTCTTTAAGCTGTTTGGCCCAGAAAAGGTTTGGAGTTAATGGCTGTGCTTTTGATTGAGCCTGGGTGCATGTGCATGGCATCTGAATTCTTCCCTTGCCCCAAATTGATCAAAGGGCAGGACTGCAGAGCAGTATGTCCTTGAGGGAGTACTACAGCCTATATTTCAGCCCTCTTCCCTTCCCCTTCTTCACCATTTCTGGATGAAATTTGAGCTTGCAGTGGTGTCCTGTGAGAAGCAGCTCAGACCTTGTTTGGTTTTTTGTGCTTCCTCACCGCAGTGTCCTACTGGGATCCTGGTGCTTTGGGCTTCCTCATGTCAGGGACAGCTGGAGTTTGGGAGCTGCAATCTTCCTCCTGACTCATGGTAGGGAAAACCCAGCTTTCAGAGGGATAATGTTTCTTCCAACAGGCACTATGAATTTGTATATGGTGAAATGAACCTGACCAGAGTTGAACTATGAGATTTCTCTTGCAACAGCACTCTGCCAAAATTCACAGAGCTTCTAATGTTGAGTGGACACCCTTCAGCAGGACTCACTGAAATCAGTTCAACCCTTGTAAGGGATGAAGGCTTCGTCTGGTTAGTGACATGTTAGTGAAAAAAACCCTTTTGTTTCATGACTTTCTAGGGTGGCTCTCACAGCTCCTGTGACCTGGATTTTTGAAGCTACAGGGTGAATTTTAAACTAATGTGACATTGGGATGGAACTCAGAGATGTTGATATCTTATATGTTCCATGAAATGGGGGGATAGATTAGAGAACAGAGAACATGAAAGAGCAGCCTTCACCGAGACCCATTAAAGGAAAGAGTACTGTGAGAGCTCAACCCTTGGTGAACACCAGAGAATCTGCAGTAGAAGGTATTCTCTGTCTTTCTTTCTCTCGCAAATGTCTTCCGTGCCACAGAACCACAGGTCACCTTGCTTTCTGCTCCCTCTTCTCTTAGTCTCAGACTTCTCAGGGCTTCTGGAGCACCTCTGGGCACAGTCATGGGTTCTTTACTACATGACTTGATGGTAACTCCTGCAATAAACAGGAAGCAGCAGGGCTGAGAGGGAAGGGGCTGCTGTTGTGTAAGTGTCACAGCAGTGCTGCAAGCTTCTCCCATGGCACTATACTTCCACTATAGCCAGGTGCAAAAGCAAGGAGAATCTCTGGGTGGTGATTTGAAGTGTCTACAGTGATGCTCAGACCACTGTGTATTATAGAAACTACCCAGCAGGTACAGAGAATCCCCTCAAGTAAAACACCAATTCCCAGAGTCAAGCACCTGTGGGAAAGGCCACTCTTCTGGAAAGTAGTTAGAGGACTACTAGAAGGATCTTAAAGCCAAGAAGGAGAGTCAGAGCCCCTTCAAGATGATATTTGTGTCCTGAGGCCTGCCAGGAGCAGGCAGCACACTGAGCTGGGAAGAGGGATGATGCTCAGCTGCAGCATGAAGCTTAAGAAAGCAGCGGGAGCTTTGGCCTGGTTTCGGGGTGTCCCCAGAGGAGTCAAGAGTGTTTGGCAGGTTTTTAATGCATGCATTTGTAATGGGAGGCTCTTAGCACCGTTTAAGCAATGGTAGAATTAAGTGCAGGCTTTTCCAGTGCATGGAGCCCCAGGAGGACAAGGTTGACAGGGTCAGAATTTCAGGCCCAAATTTCTGCTGTATGTGGCTTTTCTGGTTTCTTTGTATTCTCTCTCAGTTTTGGCCCTTCCACACCCTTGAGCCCCAGACTGCTTCTGTCCCTCCTATCCTGCCTGTCCATACTTCCACTGGTTGTATTTTAAGCTGCCCTCAACCTGGCCTAACTAGTCTAACTAGTGACTGTAATCCTGTGTCACCCCTTGTGCCACCTTGATCTCTGAGTCAAAGGGATGTCTGTGGCCACCAGGACACCCAGCTTCTGACTCAGATTTTGGGCTCTTCTTCTTCCGTTTCACCTTCCCTTCTCTTTCCTCTGAACAGTGGAACCATCTCTGTGGCCTTCTGCTTTTCTCTGAATAAAGTGGTGCAAAGAAACACTGTTGCAGCCATTAGTAGACAATAAACAAGAGGGGAAAATAAAACTGTGGAGAGCTTGGAGCTGATGGTTTGACTTTGTGCCAGCCAAGGAGGGTACAGCCATTCGTGAGTGCAGTGTCACGCCTGCCCCTTGATGCTCTCACCTACAAGAGGATGGCCAGGAGCCAAGGGTTCATTGTAAGAGCCATCTTGGGTGACACTGAAGCGTGTTGAAACCCTACATCTGGGTAAGCCCAGCACACGGAAGTGGTGACCTTGTACCTTCCCTGTAAAACACATCCCATGTCCCAGCTGTTCCTCTTGCCCATAAGTTCTCTACAGTTCTTGCATTCCCTTCCTTGGCTCTCCTTTGCGATGAAGTTTTTCATCCTTACTTTCCCTGCCCACCCTCCATCCCTGCACCTTTTTGCTCTGTTGCCTGAGAAGCAAAGGAGGGAAACAGCCAGCTCCACTGTCAGCACCTTTCCAGCCAGCAAAAAGGACAGAGTGTTGCTTCCTTGTGCTGTTGGACTCCAGTACTATGTGATTTATGTTCATTTGGCTGTAGACAGTTGAGGGGGGGCATGGGGCTGCCCCCCACTCCTGGCTTCCCTTTGACTATAAAATGCCAGGGCCAGGGAGCAGCTGCTCCCTAAAGGGCAGGGCATGGCTGTGGGGAAGCTGGCATTGGTCCTGGGCCATGGGCAGGGGTGGAGTAAGCCACACATTGGGCTGGCCTCAGGGCCCTTGAAACCAGCATGACAGCAGGGAGACAGGAGCTCTTGGGGGAAGAATGTCAGGGTCTGCGTGTTTCTCACAGAAACTCCCCTAACCTGGGGACCCAGGGGGACCAAGGATTTTGACCTGAGGAATGGCTTGATCCTTCCTTTGGCCTGTGGCTGAGGCAAGGCTACACAGCCAAGGTGGGAAGTAGGCAGGACATAGGTCTCTCTGCATGGTCCCATTGTTTTTGACACATAGCAAGGATAAACACCACCTTCATATCCCTCCACCCCCTAACCCAGCCACCTCTTCCCTTTGTAGGCTAGTAGGGCATCTGCCCTTCCAAACCCTCTCTGTCCTTTCTGAGTGCAGCTCTCTGGGAAGGATGGGGTGGCTCTCAGCAATTGCTGGGCCTGCTGCAGAGAAACATGGTCCTAGCCTCAAAGTTTCTCTCTGTGCACCATGAACAAGCTGCAGCAGGCAGTGGTGACTTCAGCACACCATTTGGAGCAGACTGCCCTATCAGAAGAGGTCAATGTAAGGGGGCTGGGATGCTCCTGTATAGAGTTGGATATTGTGCAGATTATTTGGTGAGGTGAGACAGGCAGGTCAAAGCATAATGCTCAGAGAAGGATGCTAGCTAAATTTGGGCTAAACTTTCTACTGCTAGCTCAGGGGCTGCCCCTGGCCTCTCCCAAGAGTGGACATACTGTGGGCACCAGTATAAAAAAGCATGATGGTATCTGCCACTCCTTTGTTCAGTGGAAGGGATCAGGCAAAGTGAATGAACAGTAGAGAGGAACGTAAAGGGACAGAGATGGTGGGGTGATCGTATCTGCATGGAGTCACTTCTGGAAACGGTGCAACAAGGGAGGGGACTGGTGCGGAGGAATATCAGAGGCCTGTGGGTCCCAACCTTTGGAGAGCCAGATGTGCCTCCTGCTTGGTGCATCTGGGGAAACAGTGTCAGGAAATTATTTCTCATTGGATTGCAAGGCTGAGAAACAAAGCAATAGACTGTAGAAACCTCTGCCTTCTGCTTCAGTGCAGGCTGTGGCAAAGCTGAGGCAGCAGCTGGAGGCCCTCATGTGATAACTGTAGGTGACATGAGTTTGGTGGCCTCAGCTGTGGGGAACAGAAGCTTTCTCTTTGTCTTTTCCATTGGTCTAGCTCTTCTCCCCCTCCCCTTCTCCATCTTGGCTTTACTTTTTGGATTATTGAATATTTAAGCGTTTCTCTGTGACACTATCTCTGATCCCTTAATCCAGCTGGCCTGGTAATTCCACAGACCCAAATCAGCTCAGATTTCTCCACGGACGTAAGCCTTGTTCCTCAAGGGTTCACTCCTCCTTCATTTATCTTCCTTCATTTTATTTCTGCCCTTTGTATCTCTGTGCTAGAAATTGGTTCAGCTTTTGCAGCAAAAGCTTCGGCAATATCTTTAGTGAGCAGCCTCCCCCCAAAATAAAAAGGGCAAGAGGAGATCTTTATTTTTCATTAGCCAAGAATCTTTTTCACTTTTTTTTTTTTGTTTTCTTTATCCTCAAAATTAAAAAGAAAAAAAAATAGCACAGTGCCCCCATGTTTTATCTGCTGTATGAAGTTATTTCCTTCCACACTGCCTGAGGACACCCCTGACAATCTCCTGTTTCAGCACAGGTGCAGAAGGGCTGAAGCTATAGCTGGAGAGAAAGGTGGTCCAGGCATCCCTTCCCAGTCAGAACCAGGAGCTTGCCCAGAGCCTAGAAATACATTTGTTGTGGTTTGCCTGCAAGGTGTGTTTTCTCACAAAGGGACAGTGATCACAGCCCCCAAGGAGAGATGGTAAAGTATGAAGGTGTAAACAGTGCACCTCTCTGTGGTGGGGATTAGGTGGGTGATGTGCTTTCAGCTCAGGACTGCTGGCACTATTGGGTGAGAGACTGGAGGCTGCTATTTGACACACTGCCTGCACCCTGCTCCCCACCTCCCCAGCATGCTCAAGACAGACTCAACAGCATTGTCCATGCACCAAGAGGCAGGAACAATTTTTAGAGCAGAAGTGGTTACACGTGGCTTGAATTATTTATCCCTCTTGCATCCAGAAAGGAAGGAAGAAAAAAAAAAGTTGGGATTTTTTTCTGGGGGGGAAGCTTGTCTTCATTTTCCCTGCTTCACGCATTCTGTGTAAAACATTTTCAGGCAGCTGAAAATTCATGGCTTTGGCTGTGCTTAGGGCTTGCCTTTGTTTACACTAGGAGTTTTGAGCCCCCGCAATAACAGTTTTATATTTCCCACTCTCCCATCCCTTCCTCTCCTACTCCCACACCACTGCCTTCTCCCAGGTCTCTGACTGTGATCACACTACTTAAGGAAGCCCAGATACCCTTCTGCATACCCCTGATACGAGATTATACATCGTGAGGGTTCCCTACTCAAAGGCTTATCAGCATGGCAGGCACTACCATTCCTCTCCTGCTTGCACCCCCCATAATGCCGTCTCTTCCTCATATCCCTTTTCTCATGAAACACTGCTGTCTATACTGTTATCTCAAAGACCCTTCCAACTGATGTCTCCTCTTGTCTCCTCTGTGTTTTCTTTTCCAGATTCCAGTGACAGATGGATCTCGCTCGTGCGCACTTGCTCTTTCCCTCTCTTTATTTTTG